ACTGTACCAAGCAAAGCTTTGACACTCAACAATGCATTGCAAGGTTTTTGTCCAGCTTCCCCCCCAAAAACAACGTAATGGTCATAATGCTTTATTGATAATGGTTGGGAAAAAATGTACACAATAATGCCTTTACAGTAACTTACTTTAAAATTATGCATTTTGGACTCAGAACAGAAATATGTATTAAGCAATATTTGCTAGCATCTTTCAAAACTGTGTCCTACATTGATAAAATATGCCTAGCTTCACTATTAACTTAGAAATAAGTATTTTCCTGGAAAAAAGAGAGAACTTTCTCCAGATTAAAAAATGCCAAGTTTCTTGAACCCCGCACTGAAGTGACACGATTAGTTCCTTTTCCTGATAGTATGGTGCAGAAGATTTCAACGGGATAACAATGGCAAGTCGCTGGAATTCATGATGAGACTGGAGTCGAGATTTAGACTATCTGCTGGGAAAAAATAAATACAGATATTATTTTCCCCTTTAAGAACTGGGAACAACGGAAAAAACAGACAACAGAAATAGCAGACAATGAAAACCCTGAATAATAGACACAATTTAAGTAATTTAAATACATACCTGAGTATAAGTAATTTTGTTCAAAATTTAGAGAAAAAAAACGTATTATTGAGAAGCTGTTTCTTACCTTGATCAAAATTGAGCTTTTTAGATGTGGAACTATCACTCAACCCCTCAATATCTACCAGATCGCTGTTGGCATCAGAGTCATTCAGTGCACTGAGAGTGACATCTGAGGAAAAATTATACGAATGCAGTTATATTTTACTATTCAAAATGCTGAAATTATTTAAGGTTGACTAAAGTAATGTTTTTGTTTTTTTGCAAGTATAAAATAAATGCAACACAAATTAATGCATTAAGAAATACTTACCTGCCGTCTTTGATGATTTAATGCTAGATGGACCTGTGGTTGGCCGCTGTAAACCCGCAGTCACCACAACCTGAGAGGTTGGCACAGCGATTACTTTAGGTGGGGCTGGGGGAGCCATAGACACCGGAATCTTTTTGGTACTCTTCTTTGGTGAGTCAGTGGATAAAGGAGCTCCACTATCTTCATAAATCTTCCTCTTAACTGTTGTTTTCATTTGTGCCCTAATGTTTAAGAAATGTCTAATTAGATGCTGACAAGCTACACACCGAATAATGACTTTTCATGGCCTACAAACATATATAAAAAATTCATAAGTATATTAATAATATAATTATTATTTTTTTTTTACTTTTTTGGCTTTTCTTTAATTTACATAAACAATGGCGATCAACAAACCAGCATTCCTTTCCAGATTTAAAGTATTATAACTGCATTAAAAAGCATTAAAGTTAAAATTTCACCTGCACTTGAGGAAGACACCATTATTGAAATTTACAGACTCTAACACAGTAACATTCAAAGGATTAAGTGAGACAGGTGTCCTTACATTGTGTGGGTTATTTTGTAAGGATAAGCTTAATGTGTTCAAGTAATCTCAAACTCTGTGTATATCCACCTAGCTCTGCTTGTAAACAGCAATGGAAGTTACAAGACCCATAATGCCATTGAAAACAATACTTTATCTTGTCCATGACCTCCTGAAGCAATTGCAAGTACAAATCCAAATGGGATAATATTAAAGAGTTTACATGAAAATGTCTCAATAATTTGCTAATTTATTGTTAACATACTGAACTTAACTATCATATTATAGGCCAAAGCAGACAAGGAGCTGGTACATTTTGGGGGGATTATTTAGGAAATTCCTGAAAATGCCAAAAAAATTAAAATGTAATATTTTGCATGTAACCATATGCATTACCAAGAGCAGTGCTGGACAAAATGTATACCTTACAAAATTAACAAAGTGTGTGTAATATACACACTTTAGATTTGTAAGAAAATGTAATTATATCATACCAAAAGCCTGATGCAGTGTGTATATTCTAAAGCACATGACGGTAAATACACAGTGTCTCACCCTGCTGGACTATTATCTCCCACTGGATGCAGCTGCATGGTTAGCTCTCCCAATTTTGTGAATGCAGCTCCAGCTGCAGAAAATATCTCGCCAACCTAACAGTTACATACGTAAAACACGAAAAAGACTGAAGCGAGTGTATCCGAAAACTTGTATGTTTTGAAACTGGTATTAGGTTGATAGTTAGCATGATAGCCAATAGCTTTATTAACAAAACAAGAAAAACATGTCCAATACGAAGACAATTAGCATGGATGTATACTATCAAGGTAAACATTTAATCTTGCTTTAGGTGCCATATTTATCAACACATTTAAGTTAACGTTACCTTGGTAGAGGCTGAAGTCATTGTTTTGATTTACAACTGAAAAACAAGGACTGCGCTTTAGAAATGTTAGGAGACAGCTAGCGGACTTGTGTACCGATGATTGACTTAAAACGACCGCGATACTAATTCTTAAACTATTTACATTATGAAATAATAATAAAAACATTCTTAACTAAACGGATTGCATAAGTGCGCCATACAGATGACACTGTGATTCAATGGTGCTTATTGGTCTAAATTACAGCCGTCGGTCGTTATTGGTCAACACCAAAGAATTATTCAGTACATTAAAGCTGCGTTGAAACTGCGCAATTCGTTCGTTATTTCACTTCATGTGCGTTGATATATATATATACCCCCAAAACCATTTCGATGTATAATTTCTGAAGCGATACGTTTGCTGTTGTCTTGGTTGAAACCGTTGCTGCTTTTTTTACCCAACATGCTCGTCTTTGTGATCACCGAGAGGAAAACGCTTTTAAAAAATAAAGTATAACGTCCAATTACTGTTTTTTATTATTATTATTTTCTATGAAGTTAATTATATATATTATATAATTATTATTTTTTTAATTGTTAAAGATGAAAACAAAATATAAGAAAGGAAGTGTTGGCTTATATTGTACAATGTGTAATCTTTATATTGGCCTGTACTGCCCTCTGGTGCACAAAACCGTCAACTAGAATTCATGTTCAGATGTATTTTTAATGAGAAGAACAACCACACAATCAAGCAGCTTTCCTTTAAGTCCATAACTGTTTATTGAGGTTGCGTTGGAAAGCTTCTGATATGGTGCCCAGAGAGGGCGGATAAGACAAATAACACCATGCGGAGGATTTGCACGATGCTGTCACTATACATGTTCGGCACTAATTTGACACAGCCGGCAATATCTGGACCAAATTAATAATAATAATAAAAAATGAACAAGAACAACAATAACAGTGATTGCTATTATTATTATATGCATGTTGTCAAAGAGCAACAAATGCAGAACATAATATGCTTGTTCAGCCATGTGCAATGTTCTACATATATTTGGGGTAGAATAACTTGGATTTACAATATAGTATTTATAGATAACATTTTATCTTTGTGATGAAATTAAGAGGAAGGTATCTATAACTAATAAATTATAACTAATTTGCTTGCCTAAATTTCTAAAATTAGGAAAACTATAAAGCCATACTAAAATTAATGAAAAATTGACAAACAACATTAAAAACTGAAGAAAAATATCAGTAAGATAGCATATGGCACTCTATATTGCTGAAGAAACAGTTGATTTATAGACAGTTACAACACCCATGATCATTGCTGTCAATTCATGACCACTGTTTTTATCAGTCATGTCAGTGACATTACATGAGCATCAATGCATTCAAATAAATATTCAATTTTAGGTGTATTTTGTTATTGCTAACATCAATATCTATATCTGGGCTATTATAATGTTTTTATAGCCATAAATATGTAATATTATTAACAGACATCAGTACTAATATTGTCAGAGAGGATAACAGTCAATTTTTAAAGCACATAATACAAAGGAGGAGGTGTCTAGGGCATGCACAAGGGGATTTCATGGAGTGGAAGGAAAAGCACCTGTCATTCAGGCCCATAAACAAACAAGCATAATCATAGCGTATGCAGCTGTGTTTAGAGTTTTGGGGGCCCTAAGCAAGCGTTCCGGGGGAGTGGGTCCCCCTTGGTAGAAATCATTCTGTCATTTGCATGGTGCCTAAACACACTACTGCCAGTGTAACATTTGTCTAGCTAGTACAATATATTATTTCCACTTAAATGGCTTTTTTCTTTTTTCTTTTTTTAAAGCTAATCTATATTATTCCAGTCATATTCAGAGGTTAAATGCTTAGTGCCAACCCGATCCCTTCCACAGTGTTAACAAAATGCTAGATGAATGGTTCTAGACAAGTACAATAGATTTAGTAAAACAGGCTGACAGGAAGTTAGGCATAGACAGGCATAGACTAGCATGTTCATAATAAACATGAATATGCACATTGGGACAGTGTATATGAGAGAATGATTGACCATGATACATTCACACAGTAAAATACAAAATAATGTTTGATCCAGATTCACAGACAAAATGCAAATATATGTATGCAATTCCACACTCTTAATAAATACACAAAAATAAAATATTTGCTCTTTTTTTTTAGCTAACTAAAAACACTCCACATTAGTTCTTTTGATACTTGATGCAACCATGAAAATAATTTACTTAAAAAAATACACCAAATATTACAATAAATATAGGACATGATAGGAGTGGCTTTATAACCCTGTATTCTTGTTTGTCCTCACAGCTTTCCTTTGCCTGTGTTTTCTTTCATCGTCCTCCCACTGCATCAAAAGGGTGAAGGTAGGGCTGGAGTTAAGATGGCTGACACAGCGGGCTGTCATTTCAAATGAGCACTAAGTAAATTACTCTCCCTCCATTATCGTAATGAGAAGCCTTTCCCATCGGGAGAGGGAGACGGCAAGGGAGAAAACATGATATTGACCCTTTGGCACACAGACAACATTAGTCTTACTCACCAAGCTCTCTTCCTCTAAGATAAAACACTCAAACATACAATGCCCGTATGAAATTTGAACTAAGAAGAGGTGAATTCACTAGTAGTATTCCACACATAAGCACGTATATTGACCTATGTAGTTGGTATATGGTAAACACAGACTTTCTCTCTCTCATACATACACACAAGAAGAGTCATGCTGTGGGCACTAGAATGCATGCAATGTAAGTAGCAATCAAAATAAAAAATAGGATTTAAATATTAGTACTTTAACACACAGACTTGCCCACACAGAAACAATTCAGTACAGTTAGACAACATACATGAAATTAAATGGCTCCTGATTCCTGCATGAAGTATTGGTATATTGAGTTGGACTACAGTCAGAAAGCAGAGACAGCAGACAAGTTCACATGTTAAATGGGATAAACTAGCACATGAAATACTGACTAGAAGTGGTAGATACAGAGTGGAGATAAATGTAATGTGAAGCAGCCTTTATAAATTTAAGCCTATAAGAAAACAGGATAAAAACAAATAATAATAATAAAAAAGTGAGATCCTGAGGACCAGTGTAAATGAGGGTTTCTAGGTTCCAGTGGAACAGACATGCACGTTCACTGTTTAGAGGTAATATAACTATAACATTTTTTCTGATACATACATTTGATGACCGTAGCACTTCATAATCTCTAATAGCAGCCTGAATTCACCTCCGCTCCTTATATATCGGAAGATACCACTTGTATATTGTCACATAATATCATTGGTTGATAAGAATAATATCCTACACAGGGAGGAACAAAAGTGCAACATTCACATGCCTACTCTGAGAGAGCTATCAACGAAAAAGCTTTGGAAACCTTTGCCATTCTGAAAAGAGACTATTAAGGGTTATGGTCATCAGTTTACGATTTATCTAGAGGTCTGTGCAGCGCTCCTGCTTGCTGTAATGGTCGAACTGGCTCTTCCAGTGCATCATGTAAGAGCTCCAGCGATGGAATTCCACTTTCCACTGTCGCTCAACATCATCAATGTTGTCTGGGCAAGAAATATGAAAATAAATAAGAGGAAAACAACAAGATGTTTGAGAGAAAGGCAAGAGAAAAAAGTTGAAGGGGAAGGATGATTTTTAGAAAGGCAGAAAATAGGAAAATTTCTATACAGAGAGCTGTAAAAAATTAAGTAATCCATTAAACTACTCCGCAGTACCATATCACTATAAAGTTCCCACCCATTTAACAAAGCAATTGCCAACAGCCCCCACAGAAGAATTAATTTGATCATTTACGATTTTAAGTCACTATAGACAGTCCTGCACAACCCTCCCAGCCCCCACCTAAAAGAACAAGTGTTTAATTGCTTCATATTCTGGTTCACTTCCAGTGTAATAGTTGGCAAAGGACATTTGTTTAGATTCAGAGCACAAATGATACATTTGCACAGACAAGGCATTTCCTTGAGAAACAGCAAATGGTTTATATTATGGCTATTACTGTATGTTCTTTGAACCTATTTTGCCCACAGAAGGAAATGAAAAACCAAACAGTAACAACAACAACAAAAATAATATTATTAATAATAATAATACAAAATATACTCCTGAAAACAATAAATCTACACATTCTCACTTTTAATTTCATGAAAAGCATAGAGTACATTTTTTTAGTTAATTCAGATTTCAAAATTGTTCAAAGAAAGAAATGAGGTAGAGGAAAATTGAGTAGATAAACAGAACCTAACACATTATCTTTTGTAAGACGATTTAATCTTACTTCTGTTATGTAGACTCCCTCTCCTAAACATCCATAACACAAGCCTGCAATTTCTCACCTTCAAACTAAATTCTAAAAAAATAACCTACAGTTCCTCTGTAGTTCCTCTATGTCCATGTTAATAAATATAAGAAAATCTATTTGCATGACAGTGGAATTTACTGGTTGGGTTCATTACCTGTGATGTTAAGCAGACGAGGCAGAAAGCGGTTCCACAGAGCACAAACCTGTGTTCTTAGACCCTTGTGCACCTTCAGTGGCTCTGTGTTCAAGCCCACATGCTTTTGGTCAGTAGCAGTATATTGAGGCCACCGTCTCCGACTGTCCATGGTGCCATCAGTGTTAATGTTGGGATTACTTCATGCAGACAGAAAAAAGTAGACATGGAGTTACCTTCCAGGCAAAACTAAATCATTCCATAACTAATAGATAAATTGAACCTTTATCTGAAAAAAAAAAGCAATATGACTAATCTTTCATGTGCACCTGACTCGTTTGCTATTTCTCTTACCCGGTGCGGGCGAAATTGGCCCAGTATCTCATCATTCGTCGACTGAGTTTCTCTTCTTCTGCTGTGTAATTGAGTCGTTTTTCTAATGGCAAGCCAAACACAAACTCAATCTCATAACCATGGATTACTCCCATCCACTCAGGCCAGGCCAAGTTTGAGGCTCGGTGGTCAAACAGGTAAAGGTACACAGCACCTAAGGACAAAAAGGGGCAGTGCAGATTGAGAAAACTGGCCTTGAACTATTTTGCATTAAAGATACGCTCTGTAAAATTGCGTTTTGCTCTCTCTTCTTCATCCTAGTGGTCTTGGATTTCATGCTGGCATCTGTCAGCTAGTTTATTAACTGTTGCCGCTTCACACCGGAGTGTTTTATACTATGTTTATTCTTCACTATTATAATGACCTTACCATGTGAGTTGCCACTGTTGTAACTTGTTGGTCCGGAGTTTCCCCAGCCTAGTGTCCCTGGAGCTGCAGCTCCAGGCTGGGTATGGAGGCTAGTGTGCTGAGCGTATGACCTTGCAAAGTGCTGCAGAGGACAGATGACATTTTGATCTCCTACAATATCATCCATTGCATCTCGATTCTTTTGGGGGTTGTTCTCATCCATCCAATCAGTGTACTGAAGCATAACTGCCTCCAAGCCAATCTCATTAGCATGAGGAACACCCATCTTCACACCTTCAAGAAAGTCTTCTCGAGATATCAAACTTTCATTGTCTTTACTAAATCCTGGTGCACCGTACAGCAAGAAGTAAGATCCCTCATCCTGATTTACACCCAACATGATCTGAGTGTATTTGAAGTTACCCGAGTTAATCATGGCTTCTGGGGTGTCAGGAAGGAAAATGCCATCTATGACAGGCACAAAGGAAAAGCGGAACAGGCTGCTATAGGGGAGCACTTGCCACTCCTGATCAATTAGTTCCTGTGGATGTTTGTTTCTCAGGCAGTCAACCAACTCAGTATCGTTACCTTCGCTGCAGCCAACAAGTTTGCCCAACAAGGTGCCCCTCCGACGGGCCTCATCAAAGCTAACAGTAGCCCAGGGGGTATTAGGAACACCGCTCTGCATTATGGCACGAGTGAAGAACGGGCGGCTGTCTGGTGACAGAACATGCATGCCGACTGATGCTCCCCCAGCACTTTCACCAAAAATGGTGACCTGTTTTGGGTTACCACCGAAGAAGTGGATGTTTTCTTGGACCCACTGGAGGGCCAACCTCTGATCAAGGAGACCCACATTTCCTGGTGCTTCTGATGAGCCATTGAGGGCGAGGAATCCAAAAGCTCCAACACGATAGTTCATAGACACAACTACTACCTTTTCGGAGTAAGCCAAGTACCGTCCATCATAGACATCTAGAGAGGAGGAACCACTATAGAAGCCTCCGCCATATATCCAGACCATTACAGTGAGGTTCTGCGGCCTAGGGGTAGGAGGTACC